GCTCCACCTAAAACTTCCTTTATATTTGGCTACTTGACTTCATTTCTCCTGTGCTGAATGGAGGGGCCATCTCAGTTTCTGTCCCAGACACCCAGCGGCTCCTGGGACTTAGCTCTGCCCAGAGGGGGCGGTGAGCCCGGAGCTGCCCGGGGTGTCTCACTGTCCTCGGCATGAGGAGCCCAGCAAGCCTTGTTTTCTCTCTCCTTTAATCACCCGCTGGCCTTGTTTTCTCTCTCCTTTGCCACCGCTTCTGCTTTTGCTTCCTGCTGCGCCAACACTTTCCTCCTAATCAGCAAATGCTTTGTTGTCTTCCTCACTTGTGAGTGTGTGTGCATGTGTGAACATGTATGTGTGCTCACGCAAGCACTGGGGAGCGTGTCTGTGTGTGTGTCCGGGTGTGTCCACGTGTAAGCGTGTCTGGCTTTCCCCTCTAGATTTGAATCCCTGCTCTGGCCTTTTCCTCTTCCTGAATGGTAGCTCCCAACAGGACCGTGTCTCGGAGGGAAGTGGGAATCGTTTCTTGGCTCCAGTGTGGGAGGGCCTGGGCCCTCTCAGAGACTCCTCATCAGAACTTGCCCCGAGGGAGAAAAAGAATCAGTCAGCTTTATGGTTTTCTTTCTTCTTCCTTTGGGGGCCACACCTGGCGATACTCCGGGCTTCCTCCTGGCTCTGCACTCAGGAATCACTCCTGGCTGCTCTCCGGTGGCCCCTATGGGATGCCAGGGATCAAACCTGGGTTGGCTGCGTGCGAGGCAAGCACCTTTCCCGCTGTGCTATCACTCAGACCCAAACCTGACATTTTTTAAATGAAACATGAATGTTTGTGCCATGTTTGCTTTTGTGTCATGCTTGCTTTTGTAAAGTGGGATTTTTCCCCCCCGTGGATTTTAAAGAAGTGTGTCTGTTTTTGTAGGAGAGGGAAGGCCCTCTTGACTCCCTGCTCTGAGAGGAACCGAGGGGGCCCAGCATGTCCTCCTGGGGTCTTCCCTGGGGCACCCGGGAGCTTGCGCTCAGGAAGGGAAAGGGGAGCTCTGGCTGCCTCCAACCCTGGGGCGGGGACTGGAAGCGGGGCCCAGCCTCCTCTGTGGCGGGCTCCGATGGCTCCCGCAGATGGCTCACCATCTCACGCTCTCCTTTAACACAGATTGATTTCCTGAATTCCGTGATTGTGGACCTCCAAAGAAAGAATCAGGACCTCAAGATGAAAGTGGAGATGATATCCGAGGTGGCTCTCGACGGGAATGGGGACAACCTCAACAATTACGACAACAACTTCGGCCCGGACACCCCATTCTCTGCACTGTGCAGAAATCACCAGCACTTGAAGGATGACATAACAAGCTACTTGTGAAACACCTAAAATAACCAATTTACTGTCTTTACAAGATTTACATTTTTTACTGTGGTTTTAGATAAATGTATGATGAGAAATTCAAAATTACTAATTGTGGATTTTCTTATCACAAAAAAATTGAATGAAGGACCTCAACCATCAGAAGTTTATCATCCAGTTTGAATGTATTTTTTTTATTTGAATGTTTTCTAGTTCTGTCAAAAGTGATAAATAATGTACCATCCAGGCTACCTGTATAATAAGAACTTCTATAATTGTATGTATGATTTTGATGTATTTTCCTCTGGAGATTATCAACTGTCTGACAAGTGAAAGATCTGGATCAATTGAATTTTTTTTGTAATAACCAATATTGAAATTGTTTCACAAACTATGTAAAGCAGTATTAAAATTTGAGCAAACAGGTGTTCTATGTCTACTTTAATAAAATTATTTCTTTTATGCCAGTGATAACTGATTATTCTCAGGTTTATTTATAAAAGATTTTTGGCTAGCAATGAGGAACTATAGAGTCAAATGAGTCAAACAGTTTCTACAACGGAATTCTGATACACCAATTTCTTTTTGTTTCTTTATGTTTGTGCCACACCTGGTGATGTCTTAGGGCTTATTCATGGCTCTGCACTCAGGAATCACTCCTGACAGTGCTTGGGCAGACTATATGGAATGTCAGGGATTGAAGCCAGATTGGCCAAAGCAAATGCCCTACCAGCTGCACTATTGCTCTGGGTCTGTACACCATTTTCTTAAAAGCGTTTATCTTGGGCTAAAGAGATAGTCCAGTGAGTAGGGTACTTACCTTGCATGTGGCTGATCTGGGTTCAATGGCAGGAATCCCATCCAGTCATCTGTGCCCTGGCAGGAGCAATCTCTATGTGCAGAGGCAGGAGTAAACCCTAAGAAGCACTGGGTTGGGGGTATGGTGCCACCAGCAGGTCAGTCTGTACATGTGAGACGAGTGCATCAGCAGCCTGATGGCGCCTTCAGAATTCCAGGTACCCCCAAATTGCTGCCGTGCGTTTGGCCAGGCCCCAAAAACTTGGGGCAGAGTTGACCAAGAAAGTAAACAGGCAAAAGTTAGGTATGTGGGAGATACACCCACAAACCACCTCCAGTTCAGCTATATAATTGGAGGCATGGCCTCTCTGGTTCCTGATTGAACTGCTCAACGGCCATGATCCCAGAGACTCAGAAACAAATCTCGAAACCCAACGGTTTTTGGCAGAGATGTGTCCAGTGCCTGCAGTAAGTTAGAGGCACTGGGCCACCCCAGGTGGGAATAGATTTCATGCCTTGGCCTGTTCTCCCTGGCAGCCCGCTGGCCGCCATCCTCCAGAGGCCACTGGACAGTCAGGTTTGGGCCCACAGTGACGAGACACGTAGGACCTCATGGGATGGGGGTGGAGCTGGCCCTTTCCTCCCCAAGGAGACTCCCAAGTTGTCACCCACAAACGGCCTCTCTGGCTTCTGATTGAGCTGTTTAATGGCCATGATCTCAGAGACTCAGAAACAAATCTCGAAATTCAGCAACTTTTGGCAGAAATGCGTCCAGACCACATAATAGGTTACTGTTGCCGGGCCACCCGGGGGGGAAAGGGTGCTGTCCTTCCGCCTGCTCCCCCTTGGGGGCTCAGTGGCCACCATCCGCCAGAGGTCATTTGACAGTCAGGTTTGGGCCCACAGTGATGAGACACGTGGGGCCTCATGGGATGGGGGAGGAGCCGCCTTTTCCTCCCCGAATCAACGAGACCCCAAGTCGCAGCCCATGAGTGGCCTCTCTGGCTCCTGATTAAGGTGCTTAATGACTATGATCCCAGAGACTCAGACACGAATCTCAGAATCCAGTGGCTTTTGGCAGAAATGCATCTGGACCCTTGTAGTCGGTTACTGTCGCTGGGCCATTCCAGGGAGGAAAGGGTGCTGTCCCTCCACCTGCTCCCCCTTGGTGGCTCTGTGGCCGCCATCCTCCAGAGGCCATTGGACAGTCAGGTTTGGGCCCTCAGTGATGAGACATGTGGGGCCTCACGGGATGGGGGTGAGACCAGCCCTTTCCTCCCCATCCCAGCAAGACCCCTAGTCACCGCCCACTAACGGCCTTTCTGGCTCCCGATCAACCTGCTTACCGGCCATGATCCCACAGACTCAAGAACAAATCTTTGAACCCAGCAGGTTTTGAGAAGAAATCCCTCCAGGTTTATTGTAAAATTTTGGAATTTCAAAATTGCGCAGCCACTACCACAGCCACGCGACATCATATGTTATTCATAAACCGTAATAGAAGAGAAATTGTCTACTGTTGTCCTTTCAGCAGATCTGAGTATTGGGGTAAAATCCCAAATAATAGTGGTGTGTCCAGTGTCAAAATATTGAATGTAATCAAAGTAGAGAGAGCGTAATGTGAAAATCATCTCTCCACAGGTAGGGGGAGGGTGTGGGATGGGGGCATACTGGGGTTTTTGGTGGTGGAGAATGGCACTGGTGAAGGTACGGGTCTTTCATTTTATAACCAAGATTTAAACCCGAAAGCTTTGTAACTGCTCTCATGGTGATTCAATAAATAAAATTATAAAACATGAAAAAAGAAGATCCACTGGGTGAGGTTTAAAGGCAAAAAAAAAAAACAAAACAAATAAAACCTCTATTGATTTATTGCAAAGCTTCATAGCCAATGTAGCCTAAAATGAATACCTTCAGTGATTCTCCATAGATATTTGACAAGACGAAAATAAAGGAACACCATGCAGTACAGACACCATCAATCCATAAAGTCTGGGAAAGAAACTGGAAGTTGCTATATTATTAACTCAAAATTAACAGAACCAAAGATGCTTATAAGCACCAACTCCTTTACGTTTGAAGCACATGTGTCCTCAGATTGATTTTTCTGGAAAAAGAACTTGAGCCAGAACGTTACTTTTAGCCTACATAATTGAATACCTGAAAGATAGCTCCATGACAATTGGGCCCTAGAAAAGCAAGTCCCAGCCCATATCCTGCCCTGCAGCTGCGTCCAGTTGGTAGCACCCAGGACCCCCATCTTCTTCTTGTTGCCCGTGGAATTCACCAAATAAGGTCATGGGGCCAGAGAAGGCCTGATTTGCTGCTTGCGTGCAGCATCAAATGCCTTGTTACAAAGTGATTGGCTGCCTGCATGCAGCATCTAATGTGGTAATTCGAATGTATTGTGTGATTTGTGTGCTGGCTTTTCTGAGACGCGCTTTTGTGCGCGGGAAGTTGCCCTATAACAAGCTCCCTCTGAAGAGGCTCGGGACTCTCAGGCACTGACGGTTTGCGGTCATGCTGTGAGCCCGAGCATGCTCGAATAAACCTCTTGCTTTTGCATGGACTTGGTCTCTCAGAGTTTTCCTTGACAGGTGAGGCTGTCCTGAGCTCGGACTCTAACAAAGCAAACAGTCAGTTTGCAAAAGAAAAATTTTCTATGTCTGTTTCTTTTCCTTCCTGCTTTAAGTTCATGGAAATTTTGTTTTCCCACCAGGAGGCGAAGGCCCTGCAGGCGGCCTCCGAGAAGCTCGCCAAGGAGAACAAGTGACTGAGGACCAAGCTGGACCATGCCAACAAGGAGAACGCGGACATGATCGCCCCGTGGAAGTCCAAACTGGAGACGGCCATCGCCCCGCACCAACAGGCCATGGGCAAGCCGAAGGCGGCCGTGAGCTGGGGCGTGGGCGCCGAGGCGGCCGAGCTAGCCAAGCTCAAGATGTAGATGGAGAGGCTGCAGGTCGAGTCCCAGCAGGAGGTAGAGAACCTGAAGGCCCAGCGGGCGGCTGAGCGTGCGGCACATGCCTCTGAGCTGAAGACGCTCAGGTCGCGGCTGGTCAGGACGGCCCAGGAGCAGAAGAACAGCCTGGAGGCCGCGCGGGCCAAGCTCGACCAGACCGAGGACCAGCACCTGGTGGAGATGGAGGACGCCCTGAACAAGCTGCAGGAGGCGGAGACGAAGGTAACGCACCTGGAGGGGTTGCGGGCCATGTGTAGTCAGCAAGCCCAGGCCCTGGCCGACACCACGGCGCAGCTGTAGGCCACCCAGCAGAAGCTCTTGCAGCTCGATGGGCTCCGGAAGGCCAGTTCCGAGGTAAATTGGGAATGGAGAAGCTCAGGCAGCAGCTCCAGGTGGCTGAGCGGCAGATTCAGGAGTTAGAGAATGCAAAGCGGGCCGAGAGCGGCAGGTTGGTACCCGGGCGCCCTCGCCCACTTCCACGCTCGCTCCCTGCATGCTGTGTGTCAGTGTGCTCGCCGCCGTGTTCCGGCTTGGTGCTGACAGGTCTCCCGGTCACGTCCCGTGTGGTTCCCTCTGATGGCACTGAGAACGTGTCAGCACAATTCTGGGGCTGTCATTGGTCCCCAGCACCCGGATGCCGTGCTAGCCTTGGCCCCGGCTAATCGGGCCCGTCTGGGGTCTTTCTGAAGTGGAGAACTCTTCACCGAGGCCAGTGAGAAAACAAGATAGCAGCCCCCAGAGCAAACCTCTGCCCCCCCCCCCTTGAGTCCCATGTGTACTCGCCAAGTCCGCCCAGACCCTTCAGCTCGAGGCTGGCCGCGAGGGTCTTTCGCTGACCTTGCTGACCACCTGCTCATGTGACTGGCTTTGCCATCCTGTCCCCGAGGCGCCTCAGTTTCCAGCTGGTGCTCAATGCCTCTGAACCTCTGAGCTCCCTCAGGGCTGGTGACGTGGCCCATCTTGGTATTTCTCATTGCTGGCCTCTCCCTGCCTGCAGCACAAGCCCCCGCCCAGCCCTGCAGAGATTTCATCCCTTTAAGCCTCTAAGGGGTGCTTGGGCCAAGTCCGCCTTCCACATGGCCTCCTGCTGGCCACGGGCATGGACTCTCATGGTAGTGATGTCGGTGGGCCCCACGGGTGACTTAGTGAAGCGGGGAGCAGAAAGACGGTCACTTTCTCCCCACCCGCCTCTGCCACCCGGGACCCAGGGTTACTGGGTACTTGTCTCGCCTCACAGAAAGGAATTTCAGGAGTAGACAAGCAGTGAAACAAATAGATTTTATTTGGAGGATTTTTGGAGAGGGAGAGAAAGGGATAAGCAGATAAGCGGGGGAATGGAGGGTAAGAGAGAGAGTAACGCGTCCAGAGAGAACGCGGGCTTCTCCGAGGGTGGAGAGAGCCCCTCCACACATCCCAGCATTCGACACGAAAGCATGAAAGTACACATCTCAAGAGGGGAGATGCGGGCGACACATGTGCTCAGGCACCACATGTGCTCAGCCACGTGGATGTACCACACATGGGCTCAGGCAGCATGTGCGCACCCTGCCTTTCTTCCAGGTGGCCTTTATAGGGTTCTCCAGCCTGTCACCACGTGGAGCTTCTTCCCGGGTAAAAGTCAGGTTGCTAAGGAGATTACCAGGGAGGTCCAAAAAGAGGAATTTCATGTGGAGGCCTATGTCCTGAGGGTCTGTGGATGGTCTTATCAGGCCTTTGCTTTCTGTATCCACAAGGTGGGTCCTTCCTAGAATTCTTCTTCCATGAAACTGTGTTTCATTGCAAAGGGTCTTTCCCTGTCTACTTACCCACATCATTAGCCCTGACCCTGGGGAAGGACAAGACAGTGAGTTCTGGGTCAAGCCAAGCGAGCTGCAGTTCTCACCAAGGAGCTCTGAGAAATGCCCTTTTCCTCCTATAGGATTGTGGTGGCAGGGACGCTCCCTCCCCCTCCCCCCTGCGCCCCCCGGCACTGGGCGCTTTGTTGGAGAAACTTCTCTGTTGGCCAAGATGGAAGGGCTGTGGGATTTGTAGACAGGAGTGACAGACATAACAGAAGGACCCAGAGACCCCCGGGAGTTCCTCTCAGGACTCAGGACTCCTTAGCTGGCATTCCAGAAACAAACGGAATCAATTCCTAGGACACAGCAGGGGATAGTTGACCCACTTGTTCGCATCAAGATGTAACAAACGTCAAGTTCTGGTGACTGCTGTCTAGTGGATTAGAGGTTCTTCAATTTAATTTTCATATTGAAACCCCTCAAACTTTTAAAGTCACAGACAAGAAACTACAAGAAATTAAATCTTGGTGGCTAGAGTGATAGTACAGTGGGAAGGGCATTTGCCTTGCACACGGCCTGTGTGAGGTCGATCTCCAGCATCCCATAGGGTCACTATCATTGCCACTGTCCTCCCGTTGTTCATCGACTAGCTCGAGCAGGCCAAAAAAAAAAAAAAAGATAACCTTTTCTTCCCTCCCTCCCCCCCTTTCTCTTTCTTCCCTGTTTCCTCCCTCCCTCCTTCGTATCCTTAGCCTCCCTCCTCCCTTGCTTACGTCCTTCTTCCTCGCCAAGCCATGCTCTCGGCTCTGGGGTCCTCCCGCCCAGCAGTAGTGGGTCTTTTCAGCTTGTGGACCGATCTCAGGCTCGCCCAGTGGTGCTGCAGTTCTACCTCGGACCTGGTGTGTACTCCAGCCCTTTGTACCGTCTCTCGCCTGCCACATGAACAAGGCTTTGGAGAAAGAGCTTCGGAGTTTGGTGAGTACCAGGGGAGTCGGGCGCTGATCTTTACCTTGCTGAGGCTAAAGCGAAGCCTCCTCAGGCGAGCTTGGCCCTGTGGCCTCTGAGGCTCACGAGCGTGTCAGCTGGACACATCAGGGGCTGCGCGAGCCCCGTTGGGGCAGCAAAGGTAGGTGGGCTGATCTGTCCCCGCTATGCCCTCCGCCTCTGCCTGATCAGTGACCGGCCAGCGATGCTCCCGGAGTGCCGGGCTCCTTCCTCCCCTCAGAAATGCCCCCTGCCCCCTCAGCTCTGTCTCTCCTGGCAGCCGGGAGCACTGGGGGCTCACAGCAAGGGGAGGGAGGTAAGAGACATGCGCTGGGAAGGCCACTTTTCTGGAACCTTCCAGACACCTTCCTGGGGTGGATCAAAGTGCGTTTTCTTGTTTTCTTTTTAGGATTTTTTTGTTTGTATTTGTTTTTTTGGTTTGTGTCTTGGGTTTTCTTGTATTCAGCTGTGCTGAGACTTTCTCCTGGCTCTGTACTCAGGATCATTCCTGGTGGCCCTCAGGGGACCACGTGGAATGCTGGGGATTGAACCTCGGTTGAATACATACAAAGCAAAACACCTAAAGTATCTCGTTGTTTTTGTTTTTGTTTTTTTGGGGGTTTTTTTTTGGCTTTTTGGGTCACACCTGGTGATGCTCAGAGGTTACTCCCAGCTCTGCACACAGGAATTACTCCTGGTGGAGTTTCGGGGACCCAGTGGGATCTGGGGATTGAACCTGGGTCAGCCACGTGCAAGGCAGATGCTCTTCCCGCTGTCCTGTCACTCTGTCTCTGGGCCTGGGTGAGCCGGGCCTTTCTGCTGAGACAGTGCTGACTGGATCCTGTCAGGACCCGGGACTGAGCACTTAGGAGCCTTTCAGAACCTGCGGGAGGATTCCAAGGGAAGCGTCCTCGCTGGGGCAGCATGGGCCAACCACAAGCGGCATCACATTCTATCTGTGTGTGGTCGAGAACATGTGTACACACGTGTGTCCACAGCCATGCACACACCCCAGTATACACATATGGGCTTCTGTCATGTGCAGACTCATACATGTCCTTGGACAAGCAAGCAAGTACATACATACTTGCACAACTCACTCATGTTTGCCAGGCAGATACACACTGGGCATTGATAACTGAGTTTGGGGTGGATTATTTTTGTTTTCTGGGTTTTTTTGTTCTTGTTGTAGTTCTTGTTTTTTGTCTTTTTTTGTCACAGTTGGGGATGTTCAGGGGTCACTCCTGGCTTGCACTCAGGAATTACTACTGACTGTGCATCCCCTATGGGATGCTGGGGATCAAAGGCGGGTCAGCCTTGTGCAAGACAAACACCCTCCCCGCTGGGCTATTGCTCTGGCCCTGGGGTATATATATATATATATAAATTTATTTTTGGTGGTGGTGGTGGGGGACTAGTGCCATGCCTGTCAGTCCTTGGAGGCGACTCCTGGCTCTGTGCTCAGGATATTCCTGTTAGTGCCGGGATTCAAGCAGGGCCAAGTGGCCTTACCCAGTGCTCTCTCCCAGCCCCCAGATGCTCACCGTGTTTATTGGGGCTCCCCCCTAACTCGGTGGTACTCCTGGCTCAGGGTCTAACCGGCTGGCTGTTCTCGGGTGCCTGGACCCTGTGCCAGCCCTTCAGCCCCCAATATCTACGTTTGGAGTACAAGTTCATTTTCATGAACAGCATCACAAAATGGAGTGTCTCCCATGTCGTTGATTGGAAGCTACTTTGCACCCTCCTGGTCTGAACATCTGATTCTGTTTATCTAGAAAGAAAAGTTCGCAGAGGCTTCAGAAGAGTCAGCTTCTGATCAGAAAAACATGCAAGGTGGGTGCGGGCCACCGGGTGGCTGTGCCGGGGCCGGGGCTCTGGGGGGCCACGTTCAGGGCTCTGCCTGCTCATTTCCCGCAGTGACTTCCTCGGGCTCTTTCCTCTTTGACATAAATTTCATTCCCAGAGACCCGAGCAGGCCAGGCGCTTGCCTTGCCCACTGCCAAGCTGGTATCCATCCCTGATACCAGCAGGCTGATCCCTGAGTGTAGAGCCAGGAGGTACCCTGGGCGTAGCATGTACGTGCACAAAGCACCCCCCCCACACACACACATCACACACATACACATTGTTTTTTTTATTTATTTTTTTGTTAATAATGTAGGAGTACTACTAATTATTCAGCCATTGATGAAGCTGATTTAATTGGGCACGAACTCCACATTA